CATGGGGTTATACACCAGAGCTCTTGCCCTCATACACCTCAGTAGAATGGAGTTGCAGAAAGGAAGAATAGGCACATCTTGGAGGTGGCTAGAAGTCTTATGTTTACCTCCAATGTCCCTATTCGCTTCTGGGGTGATGCTATCCTCACGGCGGTATATCTTATTAATCAGGTTTCTTCCCGGGTCCTTGATATGAGATCTCCTTTTTCCCTACCCAAGTGAGGAGTTGTTTTCTATTCCCCTTAAAACATTCGGCTGTACCTGTTTTGTTCAGCTTCTCAAACCCCATCACTCCAAGTTCGAACCCAAGGCCTCCAAATGCATTTTCCTTGGTTATGCACAAACTCGAAAGGGTTATTGCTGCTATGATTCTGTCTCGGGGAGGAAGTTTGTCTCCATGGATGTCACTTTCTTCGAGGAGACACCCTATTATCCTCGGGTTTCTCCTCAGGGGGAGAGAAGTGAGAGTGGGGCAGTTCCTTTACCTATTCCATTGGGCGATGAGAGCTGCAATGGTGAGGGTGGTCAGAGGGATCAGGAGTTGAGGGTTTATCCCAGGTGATGCAGGCAGGTTGATCCCGGTCATCAGCAGTCCAGGCCAGCTCCAATCTCATATGCAGCTCCAAGTCTAGGTATTATAGTCCCAGGGCCCACAGAGACTTCCTCTATTGTTGCCATTTCACCTCCTGCAGATGACCTTGACCTTCTGATTACCGTCCGTAAAGGGAAACGACATTGTACCACATCTACAACCCACTGTATTTCCCAGTTTTTATCCTATGATCGCCTATCTCCTACCTTAGTTCCGTTGCCAATGTCTCTATTCCAAGAACAGTGCAAGAAGCCCTATCCGTCCCAGAATGGAAAGATGCAATGCAGGTTGAGATGGATGCCCTGTTGAAAAATAACACCTGGGAGCTAGTTGATCTGCCCAAAGGAAAGAAACCAGTTGGCTGCAGATGGGTATTTACTGTGAAGTACAATGCAGATGGATCCATTGAGAGGTATAAAGCTCGATTAGTTGCAAAAGGGTTCACCCAGACTTATGGTATAGATTACTTGGAGACCTTTGCCCCGATAGCCAAGATGACCACCATTCAAGTTCTATTATCCCTTGCAGCAAGTCACACTTGGCCTTTATACCAAATGGACGTGAAAAATGCTTTTCTGATTGGAGTCCTGCAAGAAGAGGTTTACATGCGTTTGCCTCCTGGATTCTATGATGTAGAAACAAGTAAGAAGGTCTGCCGGCTCAACAAGGCCTTGTATCGTTTAAAGCAGTCACCTAGGGCTTGGTTCGATAGATTCAGACTAGCCCTTGTGAAGTTCGGTTAYGTACAKGCCCARTCAGATCATACTYTATTCATCAAGAGGGTAGAGTCCTCCTTGACACTACTTGCAGTATATGTTGATGATATTGTGGT